TCATAATGCTTGGGGTGCTTGGGTGGCTCAGCTGGTTAAGCATCTGACTCTTGATTTCAGCTCAGGTCATGATTTTGGGGTCATGAGATCGAGCCCCGTGTCAGCTTAAGATTCTTTCTCTCTCTCTCTCCCTCTGCCCTACCCTTAAAAAAAAAAAAAGAGTTGTAATGCTTGTCATTTCAGAGTATGACGGGGTGGGGTGTAGTGAGTGGCTGAAGTAGGGTAGAAGACAGGAGGTCAAGGAATGGAACAGCAAGACACTGACAGAATCATCTATGTGGAAACAAGAAGAAAGCAGCTCATGGATTATTAGATAACTAAAACGAGGAGGGCAAGTGGCTGATAGAATATAATAATACGAGGTTTGAAGGGTGAGGAGGGAGAGAGAATAGTCTGGAAGCACTAAGGAGTATTTACCCATCTCCTGTCCGTGTTACAAGAAAGGTAGAAGAGAAGAATCACCATTTGAGAAGCCTGCAGAGAAAGCCAAGCTTCAGCTAGATCCAGAAGATGAACGCCACATTCAGAGAGCAGGCTGAGAATGTAGGGGATTTAGATGAAAACTGACCAAGAGGTCCAGAGGGTATAAGAAAGGGTCCTTAGAGGTGGGAAGGGTAGTACTTAGGACGCACGCTACCTTCAGGCACATTATCACCTTGACTGTTCAAAGAGACTTGACTTCTGCTTTGTCCTCAGTTTCTCCATCTGTACAATGGGGATAATCATGCATGTACCTCACAGGGTTAATGTGAGGATTATGTTCAATGATGCAAGGGAAGCGTTTAGAGAGACCTTAAAATTGTACATCTAGCACATAGTCTGGATTTAAAAAAACATTAGCAGGGTGCCTGGGTGGCTCGGTGGGTTAAAGCCTCTGCCTTCGGCTCAGGTCATGATCCCAGGGTCTTGGGATCGAGCCCCATATCGGGCATTCTGCTCAGCAAGGAGCCTGCTTCCTCCTCTGTCTCTCTGCCTGATTCTCTGCCTACTTGTGATCTCTGTCAAGTAAATAAATAAAATCTTTAAAAATAAATAAATAAAAAATAAAAAGACATTAGCTGTTCCTATTTTCTCTCCTGCATAATCATTTTGGATTCTTTTAAGAATCTTTTATTTTGGGGCACCTGGGTGGCTCAGTGGGTTGGGCCTCTGCCTTCAGTTCAGGTCAAGATATGAGGGTCCTGGGATCGAGCCCTGCATTGGGCTTTCTGCTCGGTGGGGAGCCTGCTTCCCCCCTCCCCACTTGCCTGCTTGTGATTTCTCTCTCTGTTGAATAAATGAATAAAATCTTTAAAAAAAAGAATCTTTTATTTTAACTTAACATTTGAATAATATTATGAAGTTTTAAATCTTCAATAAGATTATAAAATCTAGGGGCGCCTGGGCAGCTTAGTTCATTAAGCAACTGCCTTTGACTTGGGTCATGATCCCGGGGTCCTGGGATCGAGTCCCATGTTGGGCTCCCTGTTCTTCAGGATAGCCTGCTTCTCCCTCTCCCTCTGCCCGCTGCTTCCCCTGCTTGTACTCTCTCTGTCAAGTAAATAAAATCTTAAAAAAAAAAAATCTAAGGAGGAGGGATAATACCATGTACTTGTCTGAGTTCTCCACAGTTTAAGGCCTGAATGACAGAAAGCTCAAGCAGGGACTCATGAGCGCGATCTGTGACCTCTGAAGGAGATATCACTGTACTTTCCATCTCCCAGATCTGTCCTACAGATGTCAAGAGATAGTACTAATCATTTGGGGAAAAGGGGGTACAGGGCAAGGATGAACAAATATAGAAGATAACAGCTCACGGATCTCATACCAACCTTAATTCCCACTCTATTTCTTCTCTATAATGTCTCCCTACACATAAGAACATATTTTTTTTTTCAATCTCCTTTAACAGACTTAAATTTTTTTTTAAGATTTTATTTATTTATTTGACAGACAGAGATCACAGGTAGGCAGAGAGGCAGGCAGAGAAAGAGGGGAAGCAGGCTCCCCACTGAGAAGAGAGCCTGATGCGGGGCTCGATCCCAGGACCCTGAGATCATGACTGAGCCGAAGGCAGAGGCTTAACCCACGGAGCCACCCAGGCGCCCCTCAACAGACTTTAGAGTACAACCTTATCAAAGGCTTTCTGAAACATAAATGAGCAGATTTCCTCAAAGAAAAGGACTGAGACATAGAAAAGGGATTCCTAGTCTCACTACATACTAAGTCATGTGACAACTGAAAATCAAGAAACCTTCCCAGAATGACAGGATATGAATAAATGATGTGATACATAGAGCTCACATAGCAATTTTGAAATATATTAACATCTCCACTGTATAATCAAATAAACTCTAGATGTATCCAAAAGTCAAACATTTTAATTTTAAAGAAACTTCCAGAAAATATATATATCAGCTCTAAAAAGGGGGGGGACCTTCTCAGCTTAAGAGCAATTATTTAAAAATATATAATATATATTCATATACATATATAATATATACTCATATACATATATATACATATATTCAATAAATATTTAGTGAGTGCTTGCTATGTGCCAGGCAGTTTTCATGGAACCAGCCACATATTAAAATTTTTGAGTCATTAAAAAAAATAGCAAAATTAAGTAGCACAAACAACAAGGAAAATTTTGCATTAAAAATTTCGAAGGGTTGGGCACCTGGGTGGCTCAGTCAGTTGAACATCTGACTCTTGGCTTCAAGTTTCAGCTCAGGTCCTGATCTCAAGGTTGTGAGATCAAGCCTTGCGCCTGGCTCCATACTCAGCACAGTCTGTTTGGGATGCTCTCCCTTCTCCCTCTCCCTTTGTCCCTCCTCCCCATTCATGTTCTCTCTCTCAAATAAATAAATCTTTTTAAAAAATTTCAAAAGGCTGGGGCACCTGGGTAGCTCAGTTGTTCAGTGTCTGCCTTTGTCTCAGGTCCTGATCCCAGGGTCCTGGGATCAAGCCCCGAATCAGGTTCCCTGCTCAGGAAGGCTACTTCTCCCTCTCCCACTCCCCTGTTTGTGTTCCCTCTCTCGCCGTCTCTCTCTCTCTCCATCAGATAAATAAATAAAATCTTTTAAAAAAATTTTTAAAAGATTTTATTTATTTATTTGACAGACAGAAATCACAAGTAGGCAGAGAAGCAGGCAGAGAGAGAGAGAGAGAGGAGGAAGCAGGTTCTCTGCTGAGCAGAGAGCCCAACGCGGGGCTCGATCCCAGGACCATGGGATCATGACCTGAGCCGAAGGCAGAGGCTTAACCCATTGAGCCACCCAGGTTGCCCCTAAAAAAATTTTTTAAAGGTTAAAATCATGACAGAAAAATTTACTCAAACTTTTATAAAAAATAATCTGGATCATAATAAAGAAAAATATTGTCAAACTAGTTCCGTATAAGAAAATAAAAATAGATTTCTCATATTTGGAAAACATTCATTTTTGTTAATAATCAAAGGAGTGCCAAATAAAACATTCTGAAGTACAATTTTACATCTAAAGTAGTAGGCACTGGCTATGTTGGTGAGATGGTGTGGAAGAGAAGCCTTTGTAGGGTGTCTTTCTCCCTAGAGCCTATTCTGTAGGCTGCCTCTGAAAAGCAATACACAGAAAAAAATGCAGGTAATCTTCAGTTTCTGACCAGAGCATGCTACCCAGCCTATGACTGAGGAAACAGTTTTAGTGGCTCAACACTTTATGCAAGTAGTTAATACAGCATAATTTAGAATACGAGAAATAGTAATAATATGAAAAGAGTTTTTATGAAGAGACATTTTTCCAAAGAAGACATCTATGGCCAACAGACAAATGAAAAGATGTTCAACATCACTTATCATCAGGGAAATGTAAATCAAAACTACAATGAGATATCACCTCATACCTGTCAGAATGGCTAAAATCAACAACACAAGAAACAACAGGTGTTAGAGCAAGGATGTGGAGAAAGGGGAACTCTTTTGCATTGTTGGTTGGAATGCAAACTAGTACAGGCCCTCTGGAAAACAGTACAGAAGTTCCTCAAAAAGTTAAAAATAGAACTAGAGGCACCCGGGTGGCTCAGTCATTAAGCATCTGCCTTCGGCTCAGGTCACGATCCCAAGGTCCTGGGATCAAGCCCTACATCAGGCTCCCTGATCAGCGCGAAGCCTGCTTCTCCCTCTCCCACTCCCACTGCTTGTGTTTCCTCTCTGTGTCTCTCTCTGTCAAAAAAATAAAATAAAATCTTAAAAAAAAAAGAACTACCCTATAATCCAGCAATCACACTACTAGGTATTTACCCAAAGAATGCAAGAATACAAATTCAAAGGGATACGTACATTCTGAAATTTATAGCAGTATTATCTACAATAGCCAAATCATGAAAACAGACGAAGTGTCCATTAACTAATGAATGGATAAAGAAAATGTCTGTGTGTATTGGGGGTGGGGGGGTGATGGAATATTACTCAGCCATAAAAAAAGAATGAAATCTTGACACCTGCAATGACATGTATGGAGCTAGAGAATATAATGCTAAGTGAAACAAGTCAGTCAAAAAAGACAAATACCACATGATTTCAATCATATATGGAAATGAAGAAACAAAACAACTGAGCAAAGGGGGAAGAAAAAAAGAGAGGGAGGCAAACCAAGAAACAGACTCTTAACTACAGAGAAGACAATGATGGTTACCAGAGGAGAGATGGGTGGGGGAATGGGTTAAAGAGGTAATGGGAATTAAGGAGTACACTTGTGATGAGCACAGGGTTATGTTATCAAAGCTCTGAAAAAAAAAAAGGGAAGTTTTTAGAAGCTATAATTATGAACGTGGAAAAATATTAATGATGTAAATGAGACAAATACGTACATATATTATCAGAACTTGAAATGAAACAGAATGAAGGAATTACAGGTAATTTTTATAATGTTCTATAATGCTAACTTACTTTTTTATTTAAAAGATCAGTTCATTTTCATTTAAGAAAACATCATCTTAAAACAGCATTTTAGCATTATGTTATGAAAGAGAATATATACCTGATACTCGCCGATCAAATCTGCCAGGAATTGGAACTGTAAAACAAAGAAGCAGCAACATTTAGTCATCATTATGTCACATGACCCCATTTTTAACAACAGAACTAAAAGCACTTAATTACCATATGCTGGGTCAATTCATATTCTTCTATAATCAACCACAGTAGTTCAACATGATCACCAAAGGCAATATAAGGAAGAATTTATGTCTTTGAAAACAAGCTCTTTATAACTTTAAGGTACACAAGGTAGCAATTTTATTTCCGTTTACATTCATGTTCCAACTAATTTGTATCATATCAAATGAATAAGAAGTCTACTAAATTTATTGGTAATGTTATGATATTAAATAGTTAATTTTCTTTTTTAATATGTTTCAAAGATAACCCCAAGACCTGCTGGATAATAGCATTTAAATTGCATTTTAAAATATTTTAATGAGAATTACAATAAATGAAAAAGATATTGACCACTATATTTTCCCTCAGTATGCCCATAGTCAGTTTATTGATCAGAAAAATGTCTTTAGGTTAAAAAAAATCATGTAAGTTTTCCCTTTGCTATTCTCTTCAACTTTTCACCTACCATTCCTTATGGTTGATGATTATCTAAATTCTCACTAATAAACTATACGAATTATAAACTATGAATACAATGATATTTTTAAAGATTTTATTTTTTTTCAGTAAACCCTACCCAAAGTGGGTTTTACCCTTCAGAGCTTAATCTGATTATTTTTATTGAAAAAATGATGTAAAATATGCCTTCTCATCCTCCATAAAAAGATAGACTTGAAGATTAGTGAAAAACAAATAGAAGATGGCTCAGAGAGCCAAACTCAACTAATGTAAGTCCTCTGGAAAAAAACAAAAAACAGACCCAGGAAGGAGACAAATGCTCATTTACTATAACAGGACTAGAATTATCTTTTTGCATAGCATGGGGTAAAAGTCATGTTAGCAACAAACAGGCAAAAATTCAAAAGAAAATTCTAGCCATTACTGATAGAATAGTCCCTTACTACTTCCTCAGTGAAACTGTGGATCTGTCAAAAAAACAAAAACAAAAAAACAAAAACAAAAAACTATGGATCTGTCAAAATTAATTCACCCACCAGCAAACAAAGATGATAAATTCAGTTCAACAAATACAGGTAGGGTACCTCGTAAGTGGCATGCACTGTAGTAGACAATTTGGAAGGCCCTGGTAAATAAAACAAAGACTCCTAGTTTCACGAAGCTTGCATTCTAGCTTGAGGGATGTGGGAGAGTCTCCTTTGATCATTTACAACACATGTTCCTGTCACTCAGGCAGACAGATGAAATGTATACCAACTTAAACCCATAACCCAGGCCTCACGGGATTTCCATGATTAAAATCCCACTGAACATTAGCATACAACCTAAAATTATAAAAGATACAATGAAAAAATTTAGCATGGGTGCTATCAGGGGATATTGCAAACAAAACGTTAGATATTAAGATTAAGAACTATTATAAAATGAAAACATGTTTAAAACAAAGACATAAAAACAGGAATCAGAAGCATAAATAAACAAAACAGGGAGACTTGAAAAAAAAATTGGAACTTCTAAGAAAAAAATACACATCGAAATTTTAAAAACTATGGTGCAAGGCACCTGCCTGGGTATATAAAATCTTAAAATGTTGGAAAAATCGTTGCAAAACATCATTACCAACAACTTACTGCAATAATATTGATTTAAATGTATAGATGCAAATCAAAAGGAAAATTAGAAACTATCTTGAGATGACTGAAAACAAAAACACAATACACCAAAACTTATGGGATGTGCTGTTAAGTCATGCTAGAGGGAAATTTATGGCTATAAATGCCTACATTTAGAAAGAAGAAAAGCCTCGAGGCGCCTGGGTGGCTCAGTGGGTTAAACCCTCTGCCTTCGGCTCAGGTCATGATCCGAGGGTCCTGGGATCAGGCCCCGCATCGGGCTCTCTGCTCCGAGGGGAGCCTGCTTCCTCTCTCTCTCTCTGCCTGCCTCTCTGCCTACTTGTGATCTCTGTCTGTCAAATAAATAAATAAAATCTTTAAAAAAAAAAAAAGAAAAGCCTCAAATTAATAAGCTAATCGTACACTTTAAGGAAGTAGGAAAAAAAGGACAAACTAAATCCTAAAGCAGCAGAAATAAGGAAATTCAGAGTGGACAGAAACTATAAAATAGAGTGTAGAAAAAAAAACAGTGAAACTAAAAGTTGGTTCTTTGAAAAGATCAACAAAATCAGTGAACTACTAGCTAGACTGACCAAGAAAAAAGAAGATTCAAATTACTAAAATTAAAGTGGGAACATTACAATGGAATACACAGAAATAAAAAGGATTTTAAGAGAATACTACGAAAGGCAATATGTCAACAAATTGGGTAACCTAGATGAAACATGAAATAGACAAATTCCTGGAAATAGACAAACTTGTAAAACTTGCTCAAGAAGAAATGGAAAAATCTCAACAATCTATAACAAATAGGAGGATGGAACTGGTAATCAAAAATCTCCTAACAAAGCCCAGGACCAGATGTCTTCATTGTAAATTCTACTAAACATTTAAAGAATTAACACTAATCCTTCTCATAGTCATCCAAAAAATCAAAGCTAAGGGAACACTTCCTAACTCATTTTATGAGGCCACCATTACCCAATACCAAAGCTAAACAAACATACTGCAAGTAAAGAAAATATTCATTATGAATATAGATACAAAAATCCTCAAAAAAATACTGGCACACAAAATCTGGGAACATATTAAAGTGATTTTACACCATGACCAAGTGGGATTTATCCCAGGAATCCAAGGCTGTTTAAAATAAAAATATTGGGGGGGCGCCTGGGTGGCTCAGTGGGTTAAGGCCTCTGCCTTGGGCTCAGGTCGTGATCCCAGGGTCCTTGCATGGAGCCCCACATCAGGCTCCCTGCTTGGCAGGGAGTCTGCTTCTCCCTCTCCCTTTGCCTGCCTCTCTGCCTACTTGTGCTTTTCTTTCTCTCAAATAAATAAATAAAATCTTTAAACAAATAAAATAAGAATATCAAGCAATATACATCACATTAATAGAACAAAGTGAAGAGGGGATCCACATTACCGTCTCACTGATGCACAACAAACACTCTTTCATGATAAAAAATAAACTGGGAGGGATGCCTGTGTGGCTCAGTTGTTAGGTGTCTGCCTTCCGCTCAGGTTGTGATCCCCAGGGTCCTGAGATGGAGTCCTGCATTGCGCTCCTTGCTCAGCAGGGAGCCTGCTTCTCCCTCTGCCTGCCACTCCCCCTGCTTGTGCACTTACTCTCTCTGACAAATAAGTAAATAAAATCTTTAGAACAATGAAAATGAAAATAAAGCATGACAGTATGCTGAAAATTATTTAAAAAATAATAAACTGAAAAAAATTAAAATAAAATAAAAAATAAACTGGGGGGCACCTGGGTGGCTCAGTGGGTTAAAGCCTCTGATTTCAGCTCAGGTTATGATCCCAGGGTCCTGGGATCGAGTCCCGCATCGGGCTCTCTGCTCAGCAGGGAGCCTGCTTCCCCCCTACTCTCTCTGCCTGCCTCTCTGCCTACTTGTGATCTCTGTCTGTCAACTAAATAAATAAAATCTTTAAAAAAAACCCCTGGGAATTATAAGGGAATTTCCTCAGCATGAAAAAGGCACATATGAAAAACCCACAGCTAACACCAACTCAATGATAAAGGATTGTAAGCTTTCTCCACAAGAGAAGGAACAAGACAGAATGCCTGCTTTTGCCACTTCTACTGAATATATTACTGAAGGTTCTGGCCAGAGCAATTAGGAAAGAAAAAAAAAAAGAAAAGGCATCCAAATTAGAAAGGAAAAAGTAAAATTATCTGCTTATAGAATGACATGATCTTCTATGTGTAAAACCTTAAAGAATCCACACACAAAAACGTTAGACTTAATAAGCGAATACAGAAAGTTGCAGGATACAAAATCAACACCTGAAATCGTATTTCTATACAACTGCAATGAACAATCCGAAAGAAAATATTTTTAGAACTCTATTCACAACACCATCAAAATGAAGAAAATAATCTAGGAAGGAGAGAAAGATTTGTACACTGAAAACTACAAAACATTGTTAGAAGAAATTAAAGAGACATAAATAAGCCTTTTGCAATGTATATATACTCATGTTGTACACTTTAAATATCTACAATCATATTGGTCAATTGTATTTAAATAAAGCTAGAAAAAAAAAGAAATAAATGGAAAGCCACCCCACGATAAAAGACTAAAAGCTGTAATATTGTTAAGATGACAATATTTTCGGAGAGCTTGGGTGGCTCAGTGGGTTAAAGCCTCTGCCTTCGGCTCGGGTCATGATTCCAGGGTCCTGGGATCAAGCCCCACATCGGGCTCTCTGCTCAGCGGGGAGACTGCTTCTCCCTCTCTCTCTGCCTACTTGTGATCTCTCTCTCTGTGTCAAATAAATAAATAAATAAACTAAAAAAAAAGATGACAATACTATTTAAAGCAATCTATAGATTCAATGCAATTTCTATTAAAATTCCTTTAATAAGGGCGCCTGGGTGGCTCAGTGGGTTAAAGCCTCTGCCTTCAGCTCAGGTCATGATCCCAGGGTCCTGGGATCAAGCCCCACATCGGGCTCTCTGCTCAGCAGGGAGCTTGCTTCCTCCTCTCTCTCTGCCTGCCTCTCTGCCTACTTGTGATCTTTCTCTGTCTGTCAAATAAATAAATAAAATCTTTACAAAAATAAAAAAATAAAAATAAAATTCCTTTAATAAGAATGGGAAAACCTATCTAAAATTCATGTAGAATCTGGAGCGCCTGGGTGGCTCAGTGGGTTAAAGCCTCTGCTTTCGGCTCAGGTTATGATCCCGGGGTCCTGGGATCGAGCCCGGCATTGGGCTCTCTGCTTGGCAGGGAGCCTGCTTCTGTTCCTCTCTCTCTGCCTGCCTCTCTGCCTACCTGTGATCTCTGTCTGTCAAATAAATAAATAAAATCTTAAAAAAAAATAAAATTCA